ACCCTGGGCACCCCCCCGGATCCTCAGGTCTCCACCCGAGCGAAGGCGCGAGACACGCACGAAGAGGGAGGTGGCGTGGGTGCCTGGCACGAGGATGCGAGACCCCAGCTGAACCCTTGAAACTTTGTTGATACCGCACCCCACCGCCCCCTTAGAGTAGGTGCGCACCCCCCGCCGCCCCCGCACCCGCCCCGACTCCCGGGTCCTGACAGGTACCCCCTCACGCGCCCTTAAGCGCACCCGTCTCCGCCCGCGCGGGCGCGCACCGCACCCCCTGGTAGGTCCACCAGCCCCGCCTCACCTCGCCCCCGCTTTGGCATCCTCTCCACGCGGCCGCTTTAATCTCACTCAGCAGAAGCACTCCCCAGTTTCGCGGAGGGCATGCCCTTAGTGCTTTAGGGGCCTGTAGTTTTAAAGACTCGACAAATTGGGAAATTGACCGAGGCCTGCTTCTCCCCGCCCCGGCCCACCTTCTGTTTACTTTGGCCACGTGGGCTGGGAAGGCGAGGGATTCACGCAGATCCAGGCGGACTTTCTCACCGGTGATTCTACTTCTCGCTAGATTACGTTGTAATCTAACAAACCTGCACTTTCAAATGCTTACGTTTACTCCCGTAAGAGCCTTTATTTTTGAAAAAAAATCCCAGTCTTATAATTAAGTAATGAAGAAATCGACCGGTAAAGAACTAAACTCCGAATGACGGACACTCGATTTTCCCTGAAGTTCGGAATTCTATAACCACTGGCATCCATTGACAGTTTTTCTTTTCTATTGCCGAACAGTTTTACTTCTCTTTAATGTTTTTTTTTCCGAATCATAATTTTTTTACGTGAAGATGAGATAAAGAACAAAGCCCTTGTGAATTATCATAGTAATTTTTGAGATTTGCCCTCTATCAGAAGTTCTCACGTTACTGACATTCAAATTTTAAACAGGTATTTTGGTCACATCGTTTACGAAATCACTACGTTGTGATCGTGATACTCTGAAGTCAACACAAGTTATTTTGTGTAGCTCACTTTTTTTGTCCGTAATTTCTTTAGAAATAAAGTCTCCTTCTTTTTATGAAATTGGAGTATTTCCTCTTTGGAAAGGATTAATAAAGCAACTCTTCTTATGTGTCACGTTGTTACGAAGAAGAGCGTTTAAAGTATGTTCTAATGAAACACTGTTTATTCTATTTTGAGACAAAGTGGACTTCAAATTCTGGTTTTGCACTAGGCTAAACAAATCGTTTGTTTCCCTAAGCATTCATGTGAAATGAATTGCAGCCTTTTCTAACAGTACACTAACGTGTCATTGAAGTCTTGGCAATTGCTAATCGGTTTGGAGTTGTTTGTGAGGTGCCTCGTAATTTGTTTTTTAAGTCCAAAAAGTAAAGTTTTCCAAAGACTATGACATACACTTGTGTAGCGCACAGAGCAACAGAATCGTGGAAAGCATGGGCTTTGGAGTCCGACAGACCTAGATGAATCTTGACTCCACCCCTTATTAAATGTGTGACCTTGAGCATGGGACTTAACTCTTTGTATGTCGATTTCCTCAGCTGTTACCCTCTAAAACAGTGTGGTTGTGAGGATTAAGACATTAAGTATGTGCCCAGGTAATTACTATTACCAATCATAAACCATGCACTTTCAGTTTTCCTTGATTGAATAGAAAGATATAAATAATTATATGTCTTCTTACATTGAATAACATGTGGCAAATACTGTAGTCACATGAGTTTGATATAAAAACCTGCATGTTCCTTATTATTTATATGATAATTGGGAAATGCTCTTTAAGGTCACCTCATCTTTAAACCTCTCTCTGTTGCAACAGGTGATTCTCATCTATCTGGAATCAACTTGGCTTGCAGTTGGTTTTGCAACAGGCCCTGAACCTTTTCTTGCCAGCTTCTTTCTCTGTACCCCCACCCCACCCTTAACCACTATGACATTTGTTAATTTAAAAGAAAATGCATTACTCCTCTTGGCTATTGTAACTTCTCAACAGCAAAAGGAAGTAAAACTGTAAAGATCTCCAAGTGTAAAATATTTTAGTGAAATTTTGTGTTGTTGGTTAAAAAAAAATCCCAAAAACTCTCGGTTGCTATTCCTGGGATAAAAAAAAAAGGGGGTGCACATAATCTGTTGTTTACTGGACTTTAGTGCACACTTGTATGGGTAATCCAAAGCCAGCTTTTATTAAATGTGTGCATTCTTGAGATTCCTCCTCCTATAGGTGTGGATAATTTATTTTTAAAAGATAATTTGCTGTTTTAACAACAGTCAATTGTTATTAAATTCCTTACCATTTTCCCCTCTTCAACTAGAAAGACCAGCACTGCTTCCAAAAAGAAAAATCCTTGCCTCCTTACCAGAGAAGACAGACTGATACAACAAGTTCCACGACATGCTATTCTGTATTAGAAAATTGACTTGATTGGCTGGGGCACCTGCTGTCTAACTCAGTTGCTCAGTCTCTAAGCCTCTTAGGGTGGAGGCAGCTTCCTGTCTGCTCTGTCCTTTAAAGAGCTGACAACAGCAGCTTGCTTTACAATGCAAATTTCTTGTACTAACAAAAAAAGAAAAAGAAAAAAAAAAAAGGACGATTCTTAATTTCCTCCCCACCTGCAGAATAGGAAATTTTCTTTAAGGACTTGATTTTTCTCTTTAACAGAGAGAAATAGTTGTGACACATATTCCTTTGAAAGAATTACAGTGGTTTAACAAAAACATTAAATCATGGCCTGTTGTTTCCCATCTCCAAAAACATATTTCTGAAGTATGACATGATAAAGATTCTCTCCATGCTTAAAAGACAGTTGACCTTCAAACAGCACAGCAGTCATTGCTGTGAAGGGGCTTTCTTGTTTCTTTTGTCTAGTGACATCACTACACACCATACAAAGGTACAGATTTAACATAAGTAGAATGCCAATTTAAAAAATCCAAGAGATGAGACATTTAGACATAACACTTTAAATTATTGATGTAAATTATTATTATTAATACAAACAATTATTGTCTAAAGCCAAAGATCATAATATTATAAGTCTTGATAGTTTCTCTTTTATTAATATGATTTCTACTTACTTTCTTTCTGGCCTTGTTTCAGATGGTTAATTTCTCTTTCTGTAATTTGAACTTTTAGAAACATAGATACAAATGATATAATCCTAACTCACTCAAATCAGAAGCCATCCAATGTGTGTACTGATTTAATGGGGGTTCAAATGAAATGTCAGATAAAACTCAGAAGTCTAATCCTGTTAAAATACTGCTAAAGGCGTTATAAAAAGAAAATTAGCATCATTAGTAGGACAAACGTCATGGAAATGCCTCCAGAAGCACTGCAGATTTGTTGCTAATATCAATCTACTTTCTTCTCATACATTCTGAATTCACAATCCAGTAGCTACTCTTCTTATTCTCATCCAAATTTGGTAACATTTAATAACCCACTTTCTTTTGAGAAAATAATTTTTCAGCTTCGATGATAAATTTCAGTAATGAAGTTTATTAGTAATTACTTCAGCACCACTCTACATTTGTATAAATTTTATAGTTTTTAAAGCATTTTAGTACACTGTAAGTTTTATGGCAAGGTGTACACTAATAGTTTAATATTCAAAATCATATGCCGTATTCAAAATAGCATTTAATTTAATTCCCATCTTAGAAAAATATGAAGTGAGGTGAAGTGACTTTCTCAAAGTCATACAGCCTGCAAATAGAGTTTTGTGAATCCAAGATCAGGCCTTTCATTGTAGCAAAACTATCCACATATCCTTTCCTGCTCTTCTTCCTCTAAATTCTTCTCACCGTTATTAGCACTACTAGTATAAAAATCTTCCCTTCAAAACTCAATAATTTTCCATTGTTCTTTGTTACTTAAAAAAATAAAACAGAACAAAACATCTACATTGACAGATTTTTAGTACTACATTTACTTACTTGCTAAATACTGGCTAGGTACCAAGCATTGCAATAAGTCTTTTACATTTATTATCTTTTAATTTAATTCTTGGCATAACCAAATAAGGTAGGCAATAGCTTATTGAGAATTGAGTTGAGTAACTTGGTTGGGATTAAAGAGCTGGAACCAAAGTCTGAATCTAAATCTAGGTTTATATGATTCTAAAGTTCATGTCCCTGCAGCTACACTGTGCTGTCCCTCCAGTGTAGCAGATACAGATATCTATGTTTAATACCATGAGAAGTTTCTCACACAGTTACCTGTGTGTGTGTGTGGAGGAGGAGGGTATGGTTTTGGTTTGGGGGTTTTGCTTTTTTTTTTTTTTTTTTTACAATAGCATCAGTGATCCCCACCTTTTCCTCATAAAACAAAAGCAGAAACAAGATCTCTTCTGTCTAAATCTCTACTTGGTTTTCCTTATCATTGCTTTCTACCCTGTTTCTTCAGTTTCCAATTGTATGCTAGAAGTTGGCATGCTTGAACTCTTTGGAACAATGATTATATTTGTCTAATAAACAAATGTGGTACCACTCCCCTGCTCACCTCCCCACCCCTTTAACTTATGTCTTACCCCACTAACAAACTGTTCGCAAAGATAAGTGCTGCTGTTTTCCATTGGTGTGGTGAAAGGAAGTTGCACCCTTGACCTGCTCCTGACTTCCTTGGATGATTTAGGGTTCGTTCATTCCCGCCAAACAGGGAAGCTGGCAGGTGGAAAGAGCGCCACCTACTGAAATTATTCATAGGACATGGATCTTTGGGGATAAAATACTCAGAATGGGATAGCACCAAATCTTTCCATTGAGAAAATGAATCAGAATCAACTATGGAGCTTTTGAAAAATGTGCATAATG